TTGCAGGTGCGTTTGTGGTTCGACTTCTGGACGTGACTGCCTGCGATTACATACATATATCACTGAGAGGAGTCCCACTGTGACTGTAAGAAGTGATCGTCCTATATAAATAAGCCTTGTATATATATATATTTATAAGGGCCTCGGGTATGCGCGCGGCTTACAGTGATCGTGCGGAAGGGCTAACCAGATTTGGGCTTGAGTGCAAAGGAAGACCCCCTGTTATCCTTTGTTTTTTGGAGTTTTTATAGTTGGACGCTGTAGTCTGTGGCAGCCGTCAAAGTCAAACCCCCTTGACTTCCGCCCAGGCTTGGGGTAGGACTCATCCCCAAGGCCGTAAGAGACGACTGCCACCAGAGGTATGGACCTGTGTACCACCGACTCTGCACAGAGTACAGAAGAGGGTGTGTGGTCTTTAACCGCGCATGGCGGTTGTCCAACGTCGAGAGATTAACCCTCAAGGCGCGTGTCAGCCGACACTTGAGTGTCGAATGCAACACTCGAGATTATCGAGGACCGCACGATTATGGGCACTACATAGTACGCCATCATTGCGACTGCCTGCGTACGTTTGCATTGCGAGTCGATATGAGTAGGCCCTGCGTCCGCGCGGTTTTATACTAAGTCTCGCGCGCGACTCCTATCCGATTTTCCACATCGGAAAGTTATGGGTTGACTACCGAGGGGCTAGGAGCGTTGTCGTGTTGTTTGTGTTGTGTCGTGTTGTATGTGTGTGTATGCGTGTTTCATTTTTGTGTTCGTAGAGTGGTGTGCACGTGGTGTGTGGGATGCGTCCTAGTCGACCGACGTCGAGCCGCGCTTGGGAGTTCAGCCCCCCAAGATGCCGGTTCACGTGCGGGCCCGATAGGCATATTACCACGCGTACCCCCTATGCTACAGCGAACGAGAAACGCCCTCGGCTGGTCCACCTCTGCGATTGCAACTGATTAGCTTCCGTACTGTGGACTGGTAGCTCGGGGGGGATACGCCCACCGAAGGGAGGTGACAGCTCCTGTAAGGTGGAGGTAAGTTGTGCCTCGCATAGGCCCTATCCTGTCGTAGGGGCTCGCGAGAGGTATGGCTGGCGCACTCGGCCGGAGCGGCCTAAGGAAGCTCCGTTTGTGTGTTCGTGGCGAGGTTGGTCCAACTCCTGCGTGACGCGGCCGAGAGGGTCCCGCGCTGCCACGTGAGGTGCCAGGCCGATGCGCTCGACACCGTTCTTGTGGCATTGCGAGCGAACCTGGATTTCGAACGACGGTCGATCATCCTCCGAAATACGGGAGGAAAGCCCTATGCTGTACCTATGAGACTCACCCTTCGTACTACCATCAACGCAGTCCCACGAGTCTCGCCGATGACGACAGGGACTCTTCGTATGATCACCTGGGAAGACTCCGTAGACGATGAGCCATCATCGAAGGATGTGGATAGCAGTGACGAAAATGATCCAGAAATCTTGAAGTTAGCGCGACTGCGCATTTATTACTCACCGCCCCGAACGATCGCAAGAACGATGCATCTAACCAGTCGAAATATCCAAAGGACCAAGGCGATGATTTTGGGTGAACCCCTCGTACAGATTTCGAGGATGGTCGATTCTTTGGAACCCCCTCAAACCCTGTACGAAGGAATCTCCCCTCTCCTCGCCCGATATAACGACAAGAAGCACTACTGCGATATAACCGATCTACCAAATTCTTTATTGACACCTGCAAAAGAGGTACGACTGCTACGCTTTGGGGCGGAAGCCAGTTCTCTGGAACCCCCTGGGCGTCTCGAAGCCGAATCAGACGAACTCGGAATAAAGATCGCAACTAAAACCGTGCCATGGCAAAATATCTGCGATGAGATCACCTCGGAAGGACACGTGGCCATCCGGGAAGAAGATGCCCAGATGATGGCCACGGTGTTCTCCTGGCGATCGGACCATTCGTTCATCTTCGCGTCACCGCCCGATGTGGCGAAACAAGCACGCACAAAGCGGATCGACGTACGGATCTGGGACCAGCCTTTTGAGCTACACGTGCCACAATACGTACCTCATGAGATACACCGAGTGATTGCAGATATTCTGATAGAATATCAGGGAGCAATTAGCGTAACTGATACGGACATCGGCTTGTCGCTAGTTATCCAACACGAAATTCAGACGGGGAATCATTCTCCAATCCATTGGAAGCCTTACCGTTACTCCCTGATAGAACGGAAAAAGGCTCTCGAACGGATTCGGGAATTCGAGGCAAGCGGGTGGATTGAACCCGCCACCGGACCATGGTCATTTCCCGTAGTACTAGTACCGAAGAAAAACGGCTTCCATCACATTCTGGTTAAGGAGGAAGATCGACTAAAGACGGCCTTTGTGTTGTTTGAAGGCACGTGGCAGTGGGTTCGGTGTCCGATGAGAATTTGCAACGCGCCTGCCAGTGCTGCCACGTTTCAGCGAGCGATGAACATGACATTCCATTACTTCGTCAACAAGACGTGGCTAACTCAGAGAATGATCAACTTCTGCGTGATCGTATACGTGGATGACATCCTTGTCTACTCGGAGACGTATCACGGGCGTGCACAACACATTGAGTGGACGATGGAAGCACTGAGGGACGCTGGATTCAAAATCGCACTCGAAAAGAGCGAGTTTTTTCTTTCGGAAATTTCGTTCTTGGGTTATGTCGTGACGCGTGGAGGACTGCGGCCTGACTCGAGAAAGGTCGCAGCGGTAAGAGAAGCTCCGGTTCCCACGTCGTTGACGCAGGTTCGAGCCTTCTTGGGTTTGGCATCGTACTATCGCCGTTTCATCAAGGGTTTCGCCGCAATTGCACGGCCACTAACGAACGTGTTACGAAAGGACCAGCCTCTCAGTTGGGATGCGGAATGTGAGTAGGCCTTCACGACCCTCAAAGACGCTCTGGCGACGACACCTATTTTGATCCGGCCAGACCATTCAAAACAGTTCATTTTTATCACGGACTGGCAACCGGAAGCTATCTCCGCTATTCTAGCGCAGAAGGGGAACGACGATCGTGAACATGTCATCGAGTACGCGTCGCGAACGGTGCCAGACGAACGGAGGAATGACTCAGCACCCCAAGGCGAATGCTATGCAGCAGTCTGGGGAATCCAGCACTTCCATCCGTATCTCTATGGACAGAAGTTCCGCCTCATGACGGATCACAAGCCCTTGTTGGCCTTGAAGAAACTCACTAATTACACGGGCATGATTGGGCGATGGGCGGTACGGCTACAGGAGTACGACTTCGACATCATCCACCGGAAGACAGAAAGGCACGGCAACGCGAACAAACTGACACGTCTGCATCGGCCTCCTAAAGCTATGTTGCACGCCCGGCCGCGGCCGGGGGGTCCGAGTCAGCCGCGGCCTAGGCCGATGACCGAATCGGCCCGGTTCGGCCTAGGCCAACCTGCCGAGTTCGGTACATTATTTTTTTCCCCATTTTTTACGTGTAAAAAACAAAAAAAAATATATGGGCGTGTAGGGCTGGAAAAGCCCTACACGCCCATATTTTATTTTTGGGTGTCCGATCTTCGGCGCGGCGCAGAAAAATAAAAAAAAAAAAAAAAAAAAAAAAAAGGCCCAGTGAGCCATATTGGCCCTGTTTCACTGCCACCGAGTAAGAGGCACAATGTGGTCAGTGGGCAGTGTGGGGAGGTCGGTGGCTACTCGCCCAGGCTACGGCAAAATTGTTGCCGTTTCAGATAAATGCTGCCAAATGTCTGAAACGGCAACAGTTGTTGCTGTTGCCGTTATGCTGCCCAAATGCCTGCTC